GAGTGATCAAAGCGCATACTAGTCAGCGGTATTTTCAAGCAGCTGAAGACCCTAGTGGATGTTGTAACGGTATCGGTGTTACCGTTCTATTTACTGTCAGGAGCCGATCTCCTCTTGGGAATTAAAGAAAAAAAGCTAGAATCCTTCCATTTCACCAAATCCCAAACCTCCCTCCCATTAGGTGCTTATTTCCCGAGAAGAAAACCTTAGGCCTCCATGATGAAATTAAAAATATTTATAGTGAAAAACCAGACAGCCTAGGATCTGAAGGATTTTGTCGGCATGGGATCCTGGCAGGTACAATTTTGGCATCAACCAATGATGAATACTTTTCGTATTTAGATAACTGGTACAAGCACAGGCGGCCCAGGAGATCAGGCCTTCGACTTTATTAACTTTGTATATTCTTACTAAAGTATAGAACATTACGCCTGATGCCAAAATTGTATCTGCCAGGATCCCATGCCGACAAAATCCTTCAGATCCTAGGCTGTCTGGTTTTTAACTATAAATATTTTTAATTTCATCACGGAAGCCTAAGGTTTTCTTCCCGGGAAATAAGCACTTAATGCTAAGGAGGTTTGGGAGCCCAAGCCCAAGCTCGAACCTCCACACCCCCAACCCCCACCTCGGTCTAATCAAAGAGAATGTCACGCAATCTAGTTTAGCTGAGGGATTATGGTCTTTTTTCAACAATATATGTATATGAGGTAAGTAAATGTTTGTCCCATTCTTCCATAAGTGCATTTATGATTCTTTCAGATAAAATGCGAACAGTTTGATGAATACTTTTCATATTTAGATAACTGGTACAAGCCATGCTTCAAAGTAAACAAATGCACAGGTACGGGAAGTGTTGTCAAGAGGTCTACAGCTCAATTTCGCACAATAAAAATGCTTTTCCTTTCAGATAATTGCCACTACGAAGTCATAATCGTTTACTTAGTTTTTTAACTGGTAGAAAAGTATCGAATTCTCGAAGTATTTAAACTGCTGTCCAAGTTCACTCGTGTGGCATATGTTATTTCGTGGACTGGACTGGACTGGACTGGACTGGACTAGTAAAACGTGGACTAGTAAAGCGCGGACTAGTAAAACGCGGACTAGTAAAGCGCCGACTAGTAAAACGCGGACTAGTAAAACGAGGACTAGTAAAACGAGGACTAGTAAAACGCGGACTAGTAAAACGCGGACTAGTAAAACGCGGACTAGTAAAACGCGGACTAGTAAAACGCGGACTAGTAAAACGCGGACTAGTAAAACGCGGACTAGTAAAACGCGGACTAGTAAAACGAGGACTAGTAAAACGCGGACTAGTAAAACG